ATAATTAAAATATTTATTTTAAATATATAATTAATTTTAGAAAATTCATAATAAATTTTAAAATAATAATTAAATATTTAGGTTAAGCTATATATATATATATATTATTTTATTTTTTTGCATTGAGAGATAAATTGTTAAAAGTGTAATATTTGTATCTGTTAAAAGAAAAAATATTTATTTTAACACAAGAAGGGAGAACAATGTAATATTTACATTTCAAGGAAGATGGTGTAAAAGATATTTTAGTGATGATTTTTTTTTTAACGAAAGTTAACAGAACTGTAGATTTTTTTTTAAAAATGGGTAAAATGTTATATATTGAAATTTGTTGAGAGGGAATAATAATTTTTAATATAAAAGAAGAAAACAATATAATATTCATATATCTTATGGAGTGTAATTTACTCCTTACTATTTTTCATTAAAGAAGTTAATAGTTATACTATCACTATTATTAAAATCTACCATTAAATGACTATAAGAAAACTAAAAAAAAAAGCATTAGCATTGATATTTTTCATTGATGCTTCATACTAAAGGGAATACAAATTTATAACCTAATAACACTAAAAATGACCTTATAAGTATGATCATCCTATTTTAAAAAATATATAATAAGACTAAAACTAAATACAAATATGTCCTAATATTCTAAGACTAACCTATAAATCATTTAATTTTATCTTTTGTACTTTGCTAGGTCCATCTTATCAATTTTATCATATAATTAATACTTTTTATCTAAAAATAGCAAGCATTGTTGTAACATGCAAATAATGCAATGTTTAGGGACATCAAATAATAGAGAAACATGGGGGATGTATCCAAAAAGATGGGTGGGGTCCCTTCAAATTTCTTTACGCTGAACAAGCCTTTCTTTCTATATGTTTTTCTGATTGTGTTCAGATATACCATTTCTAAGGCAAATTTGTATTCGCTTTCACTTTGAACTAGATGAAGATATTGTGGTGTTTATTATGGTTCACTAATTTGACTTGTTTAAAGTTAGATGAGTGCTAGTAATAATTCTCATTAACACTTTCTTTCTAGCACTTCCTATTAGTTGAAATTGATTGAGCTTCACTATGAAATCATGAGAATTGTTAAGACGTGGAAATCTTAAAATATGTATATTTAAATATATTTCAACTAATAACAAATTGCTAGAGAGCAAAAAGTGTTATTGAAATTTCTAGGGTTTTTTTTTTTTTGGACAGATTTGAGTTTTAGAAATTAAAGTTGATATATGTTGAATGGATTAAATTGATATATTATGGGTCAATAAATAAAGTCAATTTAATCTTATCTCATGTATAAGATTTTATTTGAGAACGGATTTCAATTCAAATAAATAATTATCAAAATTTTGGATGATAGGCCTAAGATAAACCTATCCTAATTGGCAACAGATGAAGTTGCTAACGAAAAGGGTCAGAGATTACAAACATTTAGTGATGTGAAGATCCGAATGAGCTGGATTTAATTTAACTCAATTCAACTACGGAACTGATTTTATTCGTCACTCAATGTCACTAATGTCTTTGCCTTGATAGATAAAATTAAATGTCACAAATGACAGGGACAAAATGAAATGTATAAATTTTACACACTTAAGTCTATTTTAAATATAAAGTTGAAACTGCAAACATTTTATAAAACTTGATGTTAAAAAATTATTAAATTATATAGACTGTATTAAATTTTTTTTTTTTTTGCTGAACAAGGATATTCCCTAGTTGGAAACTAAACTGATTTATTGAGCATTTAAGAGACATTTTTCAACAAATGTTTAGATTTTTTTTATACTTGAAAATCAAATATTAAACCTCTGACCATATGATTAAAAGACAAGGTTATATGTATCAACTATGTCATATATTGATAATGTATTAGTTTTAAATAAAGGAGTTTCAAATCCTTTTTGTGAATTCAGAAAGAATATTATAAAATTTAAAGTATTATGTAACATAGGTCATGTTGGACCAACTTAAAATGACTAAAACTTAAAAATGTACTAACTTAACTTTTATAACTACATCTTCTTTGGGTCTAGGAGCACCCTTGTTCTACAGCCTGATTTAGAACTAGGCAAATCCATTTCTTTCCTCTCAATCGAGAAAGATTTAAGGACATTGATAAAATGAGAATTCTCAGAGAGAATAAAATTTAGCTAACTTCAAGTTCAAATTTCATACAACAACAATAAACATAGTTAATAATAATAATCATACAACACAAAGTTATGACTACATTAACAGCAGCTTCTCAGTGTTAACAGCCTTTCACAGTCCTTCCTTCTTTGTTTGGAGTTTCCTATGTATGTATCTTTGCTTCTTGACATTTGTTTGGGAACGACATGGTTTTGATCAGACTCTCATGGATGCAAAGTCATCATCAACCAGGAAATGGATTCTTCATCTGCTATCTCAAAAAATAAGGTTATAATACACAAATTGGTGGGTCCCCTTCAATATCAGAACAATTGAGTGATATCTCTCAAGTTTTGGCTGCTGATTTAAGTCCATGCTACCATACCATTTGGCTGAAACTTTGCTACAACAAAGTTACAAATGTTACATAATGTCGTAAGAGATCCTATCACTCCCATAAACTAATACCTAGGAGGATACAAGTCTGCTGTTGATCAATGGTGGCTGTTAATTGATTGGTCATCCTCTTGGATATGAGGGCAAGGCCTTTCTGGTTCCCCTCTTGTCCATAAAATCTTGAGCTCCCCTCTCTTTTTTCCCAATGACAAAAAGGTGCCTGCATTTATGATTACAGAATAAGGTTTCAGAAAGAGGACCAGATTTTATGTCATGCAATATCTAAATGTCTAGTGTCGTTCTTTGCCGATACTCTTTCTAGTTTCTAGACTTGTATATTATAAAAAAGACCAATTTCATACAGATGTTAATTAAATGCATTTAATTTCCAGAATCTCACGTAAAATGTACATTACATTTCTTAAAATATCTTTAATCACATTCATTGTAAATATGTTATGACAGAGAAAGATATATGTGAAACAACACCTGGCCTAACAGATTTGGTTGAGGGAATGGGACATGTGGCTATTGATCCATTCAATCAGGGATTAAGAAGAGGAAATAGAGAGAAAAAAACCTAAAAGAAAATATGCTGAAGACTATGTGATATAAGAAAGGAGAGAGAATGGAAAAAAAGGGTTTTTGGAAGGTATGTTAGATTTCTATATTCTTCTCTGAATTCTCTCTTCTACTACTATCTCATTCTGTTGTCATTTTCTGCATTTTTCTACAGTTTTCCCTAAATGGAATAGCATCAATATTTCCCTTAAGTCATTTACCCTTTCTATTGAATTTCAGTCTTGGTGTACTGTTTCATTGAAGGTTTAATACAGAGGTTTATTTCAGAATTCCTTTGCTTATTAATTGTGGTACTGTTGCTGTTATCATACTGCTACCCTACAAAATACCAGTCCCATTTATTGTCTTAGTGATATTTTTGGATTAAGAGCATTAAATAAAGTTGGTTTGATTGAAATTTGTTTATATTTCAGTTCAAAAAATTTAAGCATCTTTTGTTCATATATTGGTCCAGGAGTACCCATCAGCTATCAAATTTTGATGTCAGCTACATGGACCAATTAATGGTCAGACAAAAACTAAATTCAGTAAAATCATTTTACTTCTTTTCCCACATCCACATATGAAATTTTGTATTACATGCAAAATTTTTATATTTGCTGTAAAATGTACATAACTCCTTTTTTGAAGTGATACTAATTAGCATGATTTAATTGAAGGCACCTTCAATGGCCAATAGAACAGGTTCAAATATAACAGGGAGTATTTTTGTGGATGGAGCGAGAAGTATGAAATGCAAAGATTACATGGCAGTGTAGGTGTTTGTACTTTAAGATTTAAATGATTCTGATAACTATTCTTACCAAGTGTAAATGGGACTATATAAAGCAAAGCCGGCTGACCATGCCCATCCATCAAGTTCAAAGCCACATATGTGATGAGGAGACCTGTAGATCAAAATTCAAGGAATGATGTAAAAGACGAAGCCAACAGTTACTTCCACATTTGAAGATAGGAACATAGGGAAGAAGCAAGCTAACAGATTCATATTGAAATTCTTAATGTTGTTAAAGTGACACCACTAAATTTTTCTACGAACTTTTATAAGTTGATGTACTTAAAAATGTCCAGCAATTTTACGCCTGTTGCATAGAATATTGTGCTGTTAAATTATTAGAATATTGTTACATAGTAGCCAAGTATATAAATAATATGTGGAATCTTGCATAACGGTCAAGAGGTCCAATGATTTTCACATTTTATCATGAAAACTATCCCAGATAAAATATTTCATACCTAAACCATAAGCAGTCATTGCCCACAAGAAGTATCCAGCCCGAAGGTTCTTCTTTGCCAACCAATCATACCTATTAAGTTAGTTATCAATGTAATAAGTTCATGATCTGTTAATAACTTACTCAGATAAAAGACCATTCTCCTCTATCTAAAACATTTTTACAATGAAATAATGTGGACATGTATTCTACAACAAGAAAATCAGTAACAGAAGGTAGATGAGTAGGAAAGGTATGTATTGTATGATCAACATATGACTTCCAATTCAACCTTAGCGAAAATGCTACTATAAGTCCTGGTAAGATTATGTCCCCAAATCCGATGATACTGTAACCACCCCAAGGGTCAAACAGACGTGGTATCTTGAGAAGCATGGGGATACCATCTTCTCCACTCTTATCACCTCGAGCAACCTGTATAGAGAAATATTATATACATTTTAAGAGGGAAAAGGAAAACAGCATCATGTATAATGCCAAAATCAAGCTATGCAAAGAATGGTAGAGGAGTGAGAGCTTTCTCTAAAACACTCACCACTATCATCACACTCTCATGGAACCACCATTTAGAGACAAACACCCAGAAGATGTCATATAGGAAGGCACAACTGAGAAGGACAGTTCCAACCTGATACAGAAAAAAATGTATATGTAGTAGGTACTTTGCTTTTGCTCATAATAAAAGTTAACTAGTATCCAGCAAAGCTATCCCTTCAATGTTTTGCCAGTTAAACTATGTATAAATGCTCCCACAGATGCCTCCTATTCTTAAATTCAAGAGTTGACATACAATTAAATAAGGAGATAGTGCCCTAGACAAGCTTAATAAAAACCAAAAACAGTGGGGAAAAAACAACTATGAATCATTACCTTGAGATTTGGTATGCGAACAATCTGAAGAACTGTAATTATCAATGTGATACCCTGAACGACAGAAGGTAGAAAACGAAAAGTGAACATACATAAATATTAATCCGCCTCTTAACTTCATGGAAGTTATACTATAAATGCTTAGAAGCTTAAACGAGGAATGCTAATGATAACATAAGAAATCCTAAATGGCAGAACTTCAATTTCAATTCAAAACTACATTAAAAGAGAAATATTTTTTTTGAAGTTACGAGAGGAAAATCATTGATGTGAAACAAAAACAATAATCATGGAAATGGAGACTATAATAGCAGGTATATCAATCTGCCAAGAACAATCTTCAACTTATGTTGGATTGACAATTCATGTGAAATGTGGCATTTTGATGATCAGTATCAGCCAAATTTCTTGTATAAAAAGCAGATTTTAGGAATTTGATCTTGCTCTTCACTGTTTTTCAATTGATCAATAGCAAAACAATGCACTCCTTGTTACTTAGTTACAGCCAGAGGAAGAGTATCAGATTCCATTCTAGTTTAAGAACATTTTCAGTTTTATGCTAGCGATGTTCCAATGTTGGAAAGCAATATCTAAGTCATGCAACAAGTGGATTTTCTTTAATTGTATCACAATTTTCTGTATTTTAATCAGAAATGTCAGCCAGTCCAGTCCAAAGGGATAAAAAATAATAAAAACTAGAAAATGTGCAGAAAAAATTAACCAGAAGATAAAGTGAAAGTAATAGATTTTTTATATATATATATTTATAAGAAAAAGTAATAAAACTATCTTACAAGGATATCCTGACCAATCCAAGCCCATGATGCACGGCGATAAACTGCCCAAACCACGGCAAACACTACGCAGAATGGAGTAACAGCAAGTGTCAGATATGAGACAGCTCCAAAGAAGGGTATCTTCACAAATGTTTGTGCTGATGGTTGAAACCATCTGAAACTATAAGAATTTTTCTGTCAATTCCATATCATGACTAAAGAATCTAATAGAATGAACCGTGTACCCTAAAGCAACAAACTTCAAGATGAACTAATTTCTTTTTTCAGACAATATTGATTTATTGTAATTTTGACTCTAAAAGATAGCAGGATAAACACTTCCTGATGCAAAAATTATGTAAAATATATCTTTGAGCAATGTTAACCCAGAGCTATATGTGCATCTTCCTACATTTGGTCTTTGATTCAATGAATTTGAGTTCATTGCCACATCAATACTGTATTCTTCAGGAAATAGGTGTATGGGAAAAAAAATTGACAGCTAAGTTAATTTATTCTCACCCTTACTTTCCAACATTTAGACCGACACAACAATAATCATACCAATCAATCATAATTTAACAACATAAATAAAGTATGTTGCACAACATGATCTTTGGGTCGTAACAAATGTAGTTATACCCTCTTTCAGTTTCAATGACAATGTTGATTATTAAAAGCACCATATGTATAAATGTTGATTATTAAAAGCACCATATGTATAATTCAACAGGTCAGCCACAAATTCATAACAAAAGAATAGTTGGCAGATTAGTTATTTTATCCTCCTCTCACACAACCACCTTCCTTTATGTATAAAAGACTTACCATGATAACAGAGCCACCAAACAAGTTTGCAGTCCCTGAAAGCACATGAAGAATATAAAGATTTAGCTGCTGTATGACAAAAAATATGCTTTTGCGGCACTTGTATGCTTTAACTAAAAGTAATAACTGATGCAAAGATTACTAAAGAATCATGAGTAGAAAAACATTCAAGTTCTGATCTATAAAACAAAAATAACAAATGTCCATCAATAAAAGGGAATGCATAATTAGGTGTACATCAGATTGTGCAATTGTAAATGTTGTATGACTTATTTAGGACTTAATATAACCACAACAAGGGATCTTTTTTGGTCTCCCAATTGGTTTTGTTTTGTTCAAAAGACTTTTTTTCCTCTTTGTTTACACAATAACTGAACAAAGTACCCTGACTTACAATCTAAGACATTGTAACTGCCCTAAAGAAGATGCAAAATCATAAAGTAAAGCATGGAATCTGGTTGATCAGTAAATTGATTATGATCTAGATTAGAGGAAGGGATACTCTAATAAACAGAACTAAGCCGGCATGGAACAAGAACAACTCACCTCTACCCCACCAACGCAAAACAGAACCACCAGAACTTCAACAAACCAAAATGACATTAATTTATACAGCATAACCAAGAAACAAGAAGCAATCACGACAAATAAAACTGCTGCTGCAGTACTGATTTCCACATAACCACTGGAACCAACATTTTCTGTATTAGCATAATCATCTGAAGCATCCTGCGAGTATAAAGTTGATCCATGTATTAGTAACTGGATTAATGAGTTTTAAATATGAGGGGAAATATTTCTTTATGAAGGGGGATAAAACTTGTTGACATCAAAAGAGAGAGTAAAGTTGGCACAAAATAAGAACAAGGTAACCTTTAGAAGCTTCTCTTGCTCAATAGCCGCTTCTCTGGCACTCCAGGCAGACCAATAAGAAGCACTTATAATGGTACCAACAGCCATGAGCCACAAAAACACTTCTGCAACGTCAACCAATGGACGCAGTGGAGAGTATAACTGTATGGAGACTGAAGAGCAGGAATTGTACATGCAGAAGTGCAAATGATATCAAGTAAGACACATGACCAGATAAGGTATAAAATATAAAAGGAAGATTTAAAAAATTAAATTGTTCTGTGCCCAAAAAAATGTTACTAATTACATAATAAGAGACAGCTCAAAAAGTCAATCATACCATTGGAGTTATTTTTTATATGCCTTTCCAAGTTCAATCCAGCATCTTGCGGAAGCATGACAGCAGGTATTCCAATATCAACATCAGTTTCATTTTCTTCACAAACCATCTTGAAAAGTTCTGTATAACAAGGCAATACAATAGTTTCTCAAAACCAACACAATTTATTTTTATATTATATAAAAGAAATATTTACTTCAACTGCTTATTGCAATGTTCTTTGTATACTCAAATAACTAATGATAAACAAATATTTAGCATTCTATGCAATTAACGTCCCCAAGACTGCCTCTAACAAATTGAAAAATCACTAATGGACAAATCATAAACAAAATAAACTATAAGATCTCAAAAAGCATTACGAAGAAAATGCAAACAAAAAGCATTAAAAATAAAATGCAAACACCTGTACGGTAATTTATAATGAGGATGGCTGAAGCGCCAGCTTCATCAGCTATATTTGCCTTGGTTGTGAAACTACATTTTCCTCGGTGCACCAAAATGATCTCGCTGGTGAGCTAATAACAGTGCAAAATAAAATTATTTTTTTAAATAGAACTTTCAATCCAGAAATTATGCTTCACATGCAAGTAAAGTTGCATTTGGTAAGTTTTATAGCTTAATAATTATTCAATACCTTATTCTTAGGCTTTGTACAACAATCAGGAGGATCAGCCATGACAACTCTTGTAAGATTGGCACGTTTTTCTTTTGATTCCAATGTAGGGCCAAATCTTGCACCCACACCAACATACTCATTGTTTTCCACACCATCAATCCAAGTGGGGACTTTTACCTAACAAAAGAGAAGAAATTGATCAAAGCTTTTAAAGGAAAAAAAAAATGCATGCATATGCAAGATTATCAACTTGGGATTCGAATTGTGAATCCTTGAGCTAATTTTTGAATCGTGAATCATAATTTGTATCGAATGAGACAATGAAAAATTACTTCAAATATATCATATAGATGATATATAGAGTTCAATGTGAAAAACTTAAAACTGGAAATAGATAAAACAACATGAGCAAAGTCTTGTAGAACAAAATAATTATAGTTATATATGAGTTTCTGAAACCTTTATTTTAGAAGAATGGAAATGAAGCAAGTAAATGACTAAATAGGGTACATGCATTGAACAAGTGAGTGACAAGTTGAGTAATGGAATAATCAAATAGGATAAATTCAAAAGTTTTCTTTCAATTCATATACCTAAATAGAGTATATGCAGTATATGTGTGTGTGTATATATATATATGGCAATACACAATTAATGAAAATAGAATATAGGCCACATAGATTGCAGGAAAGCATGAAAACATAAGCCAAAAGATTTTTCAGAATCAGTTCATAAAATATGGTTTCCACTCAACTGGCTATCATCAAATTTTGTTCTCGGTCAATTTTTTTACATTCATAAAAATCCGGACTTTCACCACTAAGCAAACCATCTAAGAAGTTCAATCAACAACAGATAAAAAAAGGCACAGAACAGCGGAAATTTTATAGCGAAAGATAAAGGGTAAAAGAATTAGGACAAGAATATAAACAAATTCTTGTCTTTCGGTAGTATCTGTAAAACAACCCCTCCTGCATCAACCTCAAGTTCCAAAGATGCAAGTTGGCATAGCATAACAACAATCTATGAAGAAGAAAAGTAGAAACGATAAGAAAATCATAGATATCATATACAAAGTTAGCATACTCTTAATACAAAACAAACACAGATCCCCCTCAACAGCAAAAGCTAGAAAAACAACACCTATGTCATAATTACGAGGCAAAAAAGGATTACTACAGTACACAACTATGCATTGAAGCGTGGAATCTAAAAAAGACAACTCCAAACAAGTTAACACGCAACTTGTAAAACTCAAGCAAGCATTTTATGTCCAAACAAGAAAGAGAGAGAATTTCAATTGAGCATACACCAGAGTCATTGCATCATTGATGGTGCGGATCATCTTCCAACACTGAAAACTCAAATCAAATACCAAATAAATACATAATATATATTTAAACTAATCCCACCCAACTTCCAATTTTCATGTCCGTAAAAAAAAGGAACTTTTCTTTATTCCAGAACTTTCCCACTAAGCAAGCATCAAGGCCAAGATCAAAACCTCCAATAATGACATTCCTAAACCAGTTTTGCAATTCATGTTAGGAACACAGAAGAAAGAAAAATTGGTACCAAAACAAAGTTGTTCTCACAACCAGGCCTTCTGGGGGCTACATCATCATGGTGAACTATATCCCCACCCAAAACCAAAGTGACACCAAGCAGAAACGCATAGACCACACTATATGTAGCTCCCAGTGACACCATGCTGAGTCTTGATGCAAAATTGAAGGAGAAACCAAAAGGGTATCAGAGAAAGCAAAAAATTTTTTTTTTTTATTTATTTTCTTTTGGAGAGAAAATGAAGAAGGGACAGAGGAATTGGGCAGTAGGAAGTGACGGTGGGCATAAAGAAGAGAGAGAAGAAATGAGTAGCAGATTTTATTTATTATTTATTTATTATTGTTATTTTGTTTTGTTAATTATTGTTTTGTCGTTTGTAGGAGTAGAAGAAAAAAGTGCGTGGTAAGTGGTAACTGTTTAACGCGGTGGCATGGCATGTTGATAGTTTCACAGTTGAGTGTGACCGCCATGTGTTTCCTTCTGCACTCTGTCTGTGCTTCCATCTTTGCATTCACACGCATATGAACGGTGTCATAAATTTAATACTTCCGGTAAACTTTCTGTACACTCAATCATCTAAATCATAAAGATTAACTAAAGTTAATTGATAATATTTAAATTAGGATGTTAATGGATAGGATTTGCGTATGTCTTTAATCACATATATTAGTAAGTAATAATTTTAATTATGATTTGTATATGTTGGATATCTGTGTATATTTATATTTGTAATTTATATTTTATTTATATATAAACATAATATTAATTTATTAGATCTTTAATATTATAGAAATTTAATATAATAAATTTTATAAATATATAATTAAACTTTTGATATTATAATTATGTGTTAATAATATTTTTCAAGATTTATAAAAAAATTATATAGAAATTAATTAGATTAAAGTTATAGATTAAATATATCATAAATTTTAAAACATAAATATGTAGATATTTGATCTCATCATCGAAATTAGTTTTTTCATGTTTTTGCAAATGTTTATCTTCCAATCTTATATATTGTTTTGATCTTATAATACTAATATAAACTACATGACAAGAAGATTAATGATTAGACAATTTAAATAAATAATTAAAACCAATGATAAAAAATAAATAACTTTTATTAAATAAACAAATTTTAATTATTTATCACCTTATTATTTGTGTTTCAATTAATTTTGTACACACATAAGTATCTTCAAAATAAATTCATAAAACTTAAAATGACGAGAACTCAAAAATTTACTTTCTATGCTAAATGCAAATTTTAAAACTATAATTGAAATCAGGATTACCAAAACACTTTAACAATTTTTTGTCAAATTGGATACTTGATTTTATTTATTTTCTACCATCCAATAATGTTAAAAGTAACACTTCTAGACAAAAAAAAATTCTTTCAAGTAAAACTTTATTTGTGTTTCAATTGTATCATTCACAAAGGATACATAATCACTAAAAAATTTATTAATATTTATATTATCTAAGTTTGACTCATTGACATTTACTCGTGAAATTGAACTTTTCACTATTTCCTTAGCTTTAGTTTGATATTTTTCAAATAAAGAGTAACATAATTTATTGATATTATTAATTTCAATTGAAGAAGAATTACCATAAAAATTAGGGAAAAAAATACTCCAATAATTTTAACTTATAGCTTAGATCTAAAAGAATAATATTATTGTATTAATATATATATATATATATATATATAATTGTGGGGTGAGATGGGTTGGATATCACAATACTCGTACCCGCATCCATACTTACTAAATTTTACAAGTTTATATTCACCTAATATTCATTCCCATATACCTGTAAGGTCCAAATTTAATTTGTCATCCGTAATTTAAATGAGTTAGAAAAACTATTCAATATATAAACTATTTTTATATTATCATTTTATCATTAAGATTTTATTTATTAATTTTAATAAATAAATATAACTTTTTATTGGATAATTTAAAAAAAATAAAATGACATTTTTAAGTTAAATTTTATATTAGAGATCAAATTTCAATCTTCAAAATTATTTTAAGTAACAACTTTCAATCTATACTCACTATATACAATCATTAAATTAAACTTTTTTAACTACTCTTAATACCTGAAATAATTGTAGTATAATTGTCTTATATTATATTTTTCACATAGATTCATCGATATCATCTATTAACTCATATCTTGTCATGTTATACTGATTTATTACCAGAAACCATATATATTGTCGTACTCAATGAATTTTATCTTAACATAACCACAAAGAAGTGCGGTTATTTTACTAATAGTGTGTCGAGTATCTGTTTACATTTTTTTAAACAGGAGTTCCACACATTCTCATGTACAAAAACATAGAAGAAGTAAAGAAGAGGATGCATTGGGATTAGTTCAACTGAATGTGTTTCCAAACACACTAATTAAAATGTAGTAGAGCCAAATATATAAAGTGTAATTATGTGTGTAAATTATTGTGTACTTACACCTTGAGAAAAGTTGAATGGTGAACAAATTAATTCCTTTACCTCTAGATGGCTAGTTTAAAGGGTAAAAAATTGATGAGTTGCAATGAATAGGAAGTTTCCACTAAGGAGTAACCACTATCACATCATAGACTGGGAAAAGAAAATAGTGGACATTAGAATATATATGGGATTAGATTAGATTAGATTAGATTAGAATATGATAATAGTCGACAGGAAAGAACAAGTGCATAAAAGCTTAATTATTATGCTTTCGTACGGTGGTCCTTCCACTTCCCACGTGCCACGTATTTCTGAAGGAAACAAAGCGCGTACACCACTTTTTATTTCCACATATCAGGTTACCGGCTACCGGAACAATAAGTCTCACTGCCGTATATACCGTACACTTAACACCGCACTGCGGACCAGTTCTCTTCTCTCTTCCGACTCGTATAACCACTGAAACTTCTAATACGAGGTTAAAATTTTAATTAATAAAATTACACTTAAATATATTTTAATAATATATAATATATATATTCATTTGGACATAAATTTATGCAAAGTTATAGTTTTAGTTATTCTTTTATCTTTTAATTATAAAACTAAGATTAATTAAGAAAGCAGACAATCTGTAATCTAGCCCGATTTGAACCAGTGGATAATATGAATTTTATGCGATTAGGTTAAAAAATTCTGCACTTAATTTAAATTTGAAATTTAAAATTTAAATCTTATAATTTATCGGACACATCTGAATTTACAATCCAATTCATTGCAACTCTAGAAATAAATATAAAATTAATTTTTATATATAAAAGGTAAATTATTATTTTGCTCGACAGCATTTTTAATTTTTTTTATAACAATAAATTTATATTTTTTAACTTTATATTTGATTTAATTTTTATTTATCATAATTATTTATAAATTAAATTATAATATTTAAAAATAAATTATCAATTAAAAATATTTTATTATAATATAAATTATTTATCATAAATATAAAATATAATTTACATATTTGAATATAATATTTATTGATATATATAATTTATTTTAAATTTTAGCTATATAATAAATATTTAATTTATATATTAAGCATACTAAAATATTAGTATAAAATAAATAAACAACAATTATTAAAATATAAGTGCATATTTTGTGTAAAATATGAGTATTTATATATATATATATGAAGAAATTATTATTAAAACTAATTTAATAATTAGGAGAAAAAATTGAGATAGATGCGGAAGAATTTAAGTTTGAATGTCATTGTTATGTTTGTAATATTGTGGATGAATAAAAAAATAATTTAACTTAAGCTTGGTATACATATTAGACTATATGACACTGTCCAGCAGTATTTTCATCTTAATTGATATAAGCAAATTTTTCTATAATATTAATTTGTATGGAATAAGATTCCTTGCTTCTTGTTAACTTCATTAATATTGGAGGGTTGCATTGCATGTGTATGTGTTCTCATCCATCGTTGAAGCCATCAGGAATCCGCGCACACTCAATGTCCATTTCCAAGGGCATCATATCTATTGAGAAGCCAATCACACAGCATATTCTTCAGCAAGATTTGGTTTGTCTTGTATATATAATTTGCTTTATCCTTATCATATAATACTGTAGTTTTTAATTTTACTCTTGTTTTGCTAGTTTACTTCTGATGTTTTTCCTCATAGTTTTTAATATATTTTTATAATAATATCATTAGTATAAATTATTTATTGACTTTAATACTATTGGTATAAAATATATCTGTCAAAAAATTTGAATAATCATCTTCAATTAGCTTTCTTTACTCAATCACATTTTTCTAATTTACAATATTCTAATTGATCAATACTTTATTTATGAAATTTAATTTGAGTCTAGTTCAAGTTGGACTAACTGCTAGAGAAAAAAATAAGGAGATATAAGAAATAGGAAATAAACATATTTTGTATTGGTTTATCTTTATATTATGACTATGTTGAGTCTTTGATCAACTCAATCAAATTTGATAAAGTTATAAAAGTATTATTGCACAAATTACTATCGGTTCAACTTAAGTATTTTTTACTTATCTCTTCAAACAATTTATTAAAGAATTCTTTGAATACAATGTTTCTCCAAAGCTTAAAAAAATTAAAGTATTTCACATACAAAATCTCTTCATGTTTTTAGTTAAAATTAAACTTAAAAAAAAACTAACAAATTTCATTTTTTTTCTAAAACATGTTAAAAAAATTTGCATACAAGATATTTTTATACAAAGAAATTTTAATGTTAAGAAATTATATTATAGTTATCCTTCTTCTTTATCAACAAAACTTCATATTTAGGTAGTTCTGATGATGACTATTATAAATTTTGTAAGAAACATTTCTAAACTTGTTTTTGTATATTTATCTATACGTACCTTAAATAAAAGTATTAAATACATTTTTTCAAATAGTCATCTTTTATCTTATCTAAGAAACAATTTATGATTTTTTTTAAGGGAATGAAACAATTTCGTATGCCAGTCATTAATACTTTTTGTGTTGATCACATTCTTTCCAAATAAGTGGTTTGTCTTTATTATTATTATTTTTTGTTGAAAAACATCATATCACCTTAAAATTCGACATTAATCTTAAAGAAGCCTAAAACTCTTTGTTCTATTAAGAAAGAGAACAAAGATAAAAAAAATAATAATCTTTCAAATAAACTGCATATTGAAAGCATTCATAGATGATACACTTAATTTGTTCTATCTATTTCAAAAATATAACTTTTGTATATTTTTTAATAAACATAAACATTTTGTCTTCTTATATAAGATCTCTTGTACTTT